CCCCCCCCAATTTTCTCCTAATAAAATGATGGCTGTAACTTTGTTTCATGGCTAGGACCACAAAGATAAACAGAAAAGAATGTGAGCCTTTAAGCATTTTAGGATTTTTTTTTTGGTAAACATTTATAAAATTGAAACAGTTGTAGATGGTAAGAATATAAAATATCACTCTTGAAGAGCAAATGATATGCCCTTGGCATATTTTGCTTAGCCTGTTAACTGGTAATACTTCCACAGGATAGGAGTGAGAAATGGAAGAAAAAACCTCTGAGTCCGTATGTTGTAGAAAAGTTGGCTTGCCTGAATGGGCTCAGTAGACCTAAGTCACCCTGACTTACTAGCCAATCTAATTAACATGTAATGCTTTTAATTCTGGCACCTGATGTACACACAAAGGTGTCATAATAATTATAAGTTCATGTCAGTTCTACTTGTTATAAAAAGAGCCCATTTGGGGACAGTGATGCATCATTTACCAAATTAGGATAGCAACCTTTTCTGTTTGCATGGAGCCTTGTTACTGAATCAAATACTTCTTTCTCTGCATGCTCTTACTTACATAGTTCATTTGCATTTTATTTGCATAACCCTAGTTAAATGAAAATGATACATTTCCGTATTAGCTTAACATGCCTGTATTTTATTTTGTAATGGAAATTCTGTATCCAATTATTTGACTGTCAATAACTTGTGCTCTTTTTCATAATGTTTACAGCAACCGTTCTGACATCTGGGACTACTGCAACAGTAGCCCTGTTGAGAGATGGTATTGAACTGGTGGTAGCCAGTGTTGGGGATAGCCGGGCTATTTTGTGTAGAAAAGGAAAATCCATCAAGCTGACCATTGACCATACTCCAGAAAGAAAAGATGAAAAAGAAAGGTACCACTTCCAACTGATGAGGGGTTTTTTTTTATATCTACTTCACAGAAATGAAACCTTGCATTTTAAACTCATTCCATGCTTAAATCTAACCTTACCTGGATTTCTGGTCTTAACTTTTTCTTGACCAGGATCAAGAAATGTGGTGGTTTTGTAGCTTGGAATAGTTTGGGACAGCCTCATGTGAATGGCAGACTCGCGATGACAAGGAGTCTTGGAGATTTGGATCTTAAAAGCAGTGGTGTGATAGCAGAACCTGAAACAAAGAGGATTAAGGTGAGAAAGGACTTGTAAACACTTGATACACATGCGAGGAATGAATGCAGGTGTCTCCAGCTACAAGTTTTCTTGGAAGCCTTAAGTGAAGCCAAAATGTCTTTTAAAAGGGAGTCATTAAGGGGGGAGTAGAGAATCTTTTCAGAAAATATAAGATGCTACCTTCCAGGCCTACTGTCTGATGACATGTTTGATTTTGGTTTCACCGCGCTGTGGAATTCTGGTGGAATGGCCCTCCTGGCCTTCCTCACCTGCACCTGATTGATCATGTAGCGTCACCTCCGCTTGGGAGCTAACCCCGACTTCCCTTTTCTACCACGCTAAATAATCGCTTCACCTCTATTTCTGTGACATTCTTTGCAGTTACTAATTAATGTCCACATTACCCTACTCGTCCCCCAGCACACGCCCAGTCTCGAGCTGACACTTCCCTCTCTGCAAGCCCCGTCCTACTCTAGAACCTCGCACAGTGTAGTATAGGCTTCTAGTAATGGTAGCAAACGTTTGCTAATTTACAGAATGATTTCATGTCTTATAGATAGCCCACTTATATTTATTTTCTCAAATACTTACATAGGGTTGACTATGTGCCAGGCTCTGTTCAAAATAGCTTCTACTGCCCCATTTTATAGAGAAAACAAATCTAGAGCATATAGAGCTCAACTTACCTGTGTTTGCCCAGCAGAAAAATAGAGGCAGGTTTCAAATTTGGGAAGCTTGGCTCCAGAGACAGTGCTTTCAGCCATTACATCTTGTAGCTTCTGGCATTCAGCCATCTGGCTACTTCCTTTGTGGTGTTACTAAGTAAATGTTAGGTTTGTCCTTGGTGGTTAATGCTAACTGTTGCTACTTTTGCCCTAGATACAAGCCTTCTGCTTTCACTCTGTGCTTGCCTACAAGCTGTAAACACAGACGACCACTCAGCAAACAAATCAAATCTTTGAATTATGGAGATTATTCCAAGGCTGAATAATCCTATGAATTTGGTTCTGATTGCAGCTGCATCATGCCAATGACGGCTTCCTGGTCCTCACTACAGATGGAATCAACTTCATGGTGAACAGTCAGGAGATTTGTGACTTTGTCAGTCAGTGCCATGATCCCAGTGAAGCAGCTCATGCAGTGACTGAGCAGGTGACACACTGAACTGCTAGAAAAGTCCCTGGGGTGGGGGTGAGGC